CACATTGAAATAAATAAATAGTCTTGTCCGATTTGGCGATGGAGCCACTGTATGTTACGGCAAAAAGTTGTTAGATTGCGAATGCGACGTCACAGCTGCTGTAAACTCAGAATTAATAAGAACATTTAAATAAATTTCCTCATAAGATAAACAATAAAAATGTTCACAATTTTGTTTGGTTGAGCTTTGATTTTGAGAATAACTAATGACAAAATGATCAGATTTGATAATGTGACGTCATATCGCAATGGGAGCACTAAATGTTCTTCAAACTCTTCGCGCAACCTTAGTTAACAGAATCTTGAATAATGGCTACCATTGGGCCGGCCGGCCATAAACGGGCAAAAGGCAGTTTTTATGGTACACACACATACATACAAGTGAGTGAGTGTGCGTGTGTATGAAGGGCGTAGATTATACGTAGTACTTCCCCATCTTGTTGCACATTTCAAGTTCTCAATTCGCTACATGAGTAATCAACACGCTGGCCACATTGATGGCAATGAAAACTGAACCACATGAACAAACACACTCACACTCATACATACATATACACATATGCAATTTATATATATTTATAGATACATTCGAATATTTAGCATTAATGTACGTCAGTCCAACGTATGCAATTTGAGTCCCATTTGTGTTTTGAATATCAATTGCAAATAATTATTGGTCGCATATTAATGATGGTGACCGTGATTTTAGTTAGTTTTTTATCTTAGTGCTGACTCGGCCGCTGTTAACATAACAGTGCACTGTTACTCTCTTTCTCTGTATTTATCCATATGGCTTTCGCTCAGTCAATCTGACATTCTTGTCTTCTCCCCCACTCACAAATTTCTTGCACACACTGAGAGCACGAGCGCAGCGTAACAATAACAACAATGCATGCGATTGTCAGAGGAGCCAGCAGTAGCAAAAACAACAACTGAAACGAGTTATTGTTTTTAGTTGGCATGCAACAGTTGCGCGCTGTTTTATTAGCATCTGCTTTGAACTTTCATTCATCGTTTGGGTTTCGCCTTCACTTGCATTGCATTGGCTGCGAATATCGTTAGCAGATAGATAGTTGACTTTCTTCTCTTGCTTCTCTAACTGACACTGACACTGGCACACACATACACAAATGAAAATACACACCCATACACAAACGCATAGCCCACTGAGCAGAGTGTTAAAACTGACTTAACGTGTGATAACAGCATAGAACGATAACGAATAATTTTAAGAACGATAAACGAACGACGACGTTGTCAAAATTTAAGTGCAACGATAAACAAACAAACAAGGAAACAACAATTACAAAATTCGAAGTTAAAAGTTAATGATTAACGTTTTGTAAAATTATACGCCAACGATCGCGGCTAGTTAATAATACCACAAAATGATTAAATTAAAGTCGTTATTCCGCAGAGGACAAGGAACCTCGAGTTCTGCCTCCTCTAACAACTCCTCGCACAAGCAACAGCAGCAGAATTCCAACAACAATCGACAGAAGTCGCAATCCAGCACATCCCTCAACACTGCGCATGAGCAACCGCCACAGCAGCAGCAGCAGCAGCAACAGCAACAGCAGGCGCAACAGTTGCAGCAACAGCAGCTAAACAATTCAGCGACAGCAGCAACAACAAAATTTTATTCAAATCACGAGGCGACCTACGAGCGCGGCGTCGATGTGGGTGACGAGGCTGCGTTGCTGCTGACAACACAACAGCAACAACAACAACAACAGCAGCGGCGCCAGGCGCAGCAACAGCAGCTCAGCAACACTCTACCGCAGAAGAAATCCAAATTTAAAGGACAAAAGCAGCCAAAGCAATTGCCACAGCAGCAGCAGCAGCAGCAGCAATTAGAGCAGCAGCAACATCATAATCTGATGACGTCCATCGCGGCTGTGCCAACACCAACACCAGCAACAAACAGCAGCAACAGTCACAGCAATAATAATAACAATAGCAGCAACGGCGCATTGGCCGCATTGCAAGATGGCGGCGTTGCTGCTGCTGCCGCTGCTGATTTTTACCAGCAATTAGCAGCAGCAGCAACAACGACATCGGCAGCAACAAGTGCCGCAGTCAGTGGCAACAACAGCAGCAGTAGCAGCAACAACAGCAAAGCCTTTCCGGCCGCAGCAGCAGCGGTTGCTGTTGCAGCCGCTGCGGCTAGCAGCTATCAGCAGCAGCAGCAGCAACAACAACTCATCAACAACGAACAACAACAACAGCAACTGTTAGAGGTGCGTTACGTGAAGCAACAATGCCCAATCGAATTATAAATATATATATATCTTTAACAATTTCAGGCTAACAACAAAATGCAGGAGCTGCACATACAGCTGGAGCGAATGGGACGCGAGCAACTGCAATTGGAGACACGCATCACAGAGCTGCTGCCATACCAAAGCGAGGTGAACAAACTGCGGAACGAACTGCTCAAGATGCAGGTAAAAATGAAAGGGAAAAGGATTTAGATATCAGCTATAAAAAAGTCCTAGTCCTACGATCCTTGTTAAGCAGTTCAAATAGACTAAAAGAACGGCTAGAGATAGGCATAATTAATTGTAGGCAGAGATTGGCGCAATGTTTTGCATAGATTGTAGTTGCACTATTTGAATTGTTAAGCTGCCATTTATTAATTTTTCATTCGTTTATAATATGCACTCTGCTATAGCTACAGTTGCAGATGAAAGGGAAATTTCCTGAAGCTGAGCTTCTACAATAGGAATTCTTAATTGTATGGCTATAAGAGCTGCTAGAAATAAGAATAATTCATTGTAAAAATCTACATTATGATGGGATAACTTGAGCAGAATATTTGATATAGACTGTCTATCTTCAAATGACATTGTCAAAATATGTACTCGATTTTTATAAGTTGCGCTATGTAAATAGTTATTTTTATACCATGCCTTGGTTCAGAATTTATGTTCTGCAAGTAATTAGGAAGAGAATTTAGAAATATACTAGAGCTAGCCTACAATCCATGTTGATTCGCCAACGTTTGGCATATAGATGTTATAGATAATAATAACAATATATATTAGAACAATGTGGAAGGAATGTATAGATGGTTGTAATCTGGCATTGGTTGTAATGGCATTGTAAAAATGTATAAGACTTCTACAGGATATAAGACTATAAGACATGATATTTAAGACCTTGCATCCATTGAAAATGGAAAGTCATGTAACAGATAGAAGGAGGCGTGGCAGATTCTTGATCAGTGCGATGAGCGGAGTCGCTAAAGCCAGACCTGTCTGTCCGTATGTTTAATTTCGTCAATTTTAGAACACTTTACGGTCGACTGAAGCCCTTCTAAAAAATCTAGTTTGACACTACATCTTGTTCGCCCCACATTCTGCATTTGCATGCCAAAGATAAAGATAAAACTAATATATTGCAACAGGAATAACATAGAACGACATTACCAAAAAGCACATTCGACTTTTGTAGCTCCCTCTATGAATCTTTAATTTTTCCTTCTACTAACCTAGCTTAGTGCACTGCTCTGTCTATCACCTGCTAAGCAGCATGATTAACTAAATGTGAGCTTTCACTGTAGCTGGGCCCAGACAGCGTGTCGGTTCGTCAACTAACCACACAAAAAAAACTGTCAATTCTTGTCTAACAATCGTTGCTATCAACCCAGGTTGTTGTTGTTGTTGGCTGCATTTGATTCTAGTCGTTGCGCTTCGTTACTTTAGCCAGTTTCTTGATATTTAATATGTTCCTTTAATTGAGAAATCGTCGCACAGCGAACGACCCCAGACCCCAGTGAGTGCCATAAGTATGCACACACAATATGCCTCAATAATTACACACAGTAATAAAAAGTAGAATAGGAAAACCTTATTACAATTGAATTTCAAAAAATAAACCCATCCAAGTAGGCCCCGACGATTTGGCTCGACCTGAACGGGAGAATTCGAGTGGGCTCATTTCATTTGCTTAGAGAGAGAGAGAAGGAGAGTTAGGCATTTTTTAGAAAATTTTATCAAAATAATAAATAAAAATTTTGCATTTGTCTCACACTTTTTGCTCATAGAGTCAACTAGAGAAATCACAAATGGAGATCGGCAATTTGAAATATGAAAATGAATCTTTGCGCAATCGCTTGCGGGACGTTGTCAACTCGCCATTGTCGGACGCGGAGAAGCATCAGATCATTCAAGACTCGCAACGCTTGCATAGCTCAGCACCTGCTTCCATAGCTTTGCCAAATGTGAGTATAGAAATAAATATATATACATACATATATACGTATTCCATATATACGAATGGCTCTTATTCCATAGCTGAACGAAGCGGCGCACGATGGCACGCCATGTCTTACGCCGGACTGGGATAAGCATTCGTCCTCGAGCGAGATTTCAGTAGCATGCCTGCAGGACAAGATCATACAGATGGAGGAGACGCACTATTCGACAAATGAAGAGCTGCAGGCAACGCTACAGGAGCTGGCCGACCTGCAGACGCAGTTGAGCGACACACAAACGGAGAACGAGCGCCTCGCCGAGGAGAAGGATGTGCTCTTTCAGTCGCTGTGCCGCCAAACGGAAATGCTGAACGAGTCGCGCACCCAAATCAACACATTGCAGGAGCTATTGCTGCGCGACACCAAACAGGCTGAGGCGACCACCACGGAGCGGGAGAAGAAGTTGCTGGATCTGATACAGACAACACAGGAGGAGCGTGAGGCATTGATGCTGAAGCAGGAGGAGCTCAACGCCGAGCTGGCCGAGCTGCGGCAATCGCGCGACACCATTCAACTGGAGCAGCAGCGGCAGCGCGAGCGCAACGCTCTGCTCGATTCGCAGCTGGATGCGGCCAATGCCGAGCGTAAGCAGACCGAAGCGCAACTCTCGCTGGCCAAGGAGGAGATCTCACAGCGCGCCATTGAGATTAGCAGGCTGAGTACGTTGTTGGAGAATGCACGCTCCAAGATCGAAGAGCTGGAGGCTGATCTCTCACGTGGCGATAAGACTGATCTGAGTGATGTGCTCGATGCGGCGCGCCGCGAGAAGGATGCGCTTGAGGAGCGGCTGGCCGAGCTCCAGGATCAGTGGTCGCGCAGCCAGGCGGAATTGCGTCGCCTGCGCGAACAAATCGCTGGCCTAACCGAGGAGTGCAAGGTGGCCAAGAACAATGCCAAGTGCGCTGTCTCCCATTTGGAGTATCGGCTGGAGCAGCTGCAATGCGAGAAGGACAAACTGGCTGCGGATTACCAGGCCATGGAGGAGCGCATCAACGAGCTGCATGTGCAGTGCAAATGCCATCTGGAGGACAAGGCACAGCTGCAGCAGCTGCTGACCGCAACGCAACGGCACCTGGGCGATGTGGAGCTGCAGCTGACGGAGAGCGAATCCCGCCTGGAGAAGGAGATGCAGCTGCGTAAACGCGACGCTGACGAATGGCAACAGTTCCAGGCGGATCTCCTAATGACTGTGCGTGTTGCCAACGATTTCAAGACTGAGGCGCTCAGCGCACGCGAGCAGCTGGTGCTCGACAACAAGACGCAGAAGGAAAAGATCCGGCTGCTCGAGCAGCAGCTGGAAAAACTAACCAAGCAGCGTAAGTAAATGAAGAGAATCTCTGATCGCTGGATTCATAACTTACCCTCAGAAACCTTTACAGAAACACAGCAGACGGAGACGCAGCAATCGGTGCTGACCTCCGTGCAGCAGGAGATGGCAACACGACGCAGCAAGCTCAGCTTTAGTCGACAGGACTCTCGGCTGTCCGTCAAGACACTTATCGAGAGCATCGAAAACAACAAACAGGTAGATATCACATTGGGCACACAATTTGCTACGGTTCCTTTGCTAATGTCCCTTTTAATATCATTTTGCAGCAGGGCAAAACGGACGAGACCGAATCACATTATAGTTCGACGTCGAGTCTAAACAGCGGCACGCCCGAAACGGGTAATACGCCCATTATACTGCCCGGATCCAGTGACTGGCACGAGAGTGTAAGTTGTGCCTGCCAAGGACTCGCATTGAAGAGATATTTGAATTATTTTTCCCTTTTTCACAGCTCCGACTACCTGTGCTGCAGAGCAGCAATCTGCATGTGAATGTGAACACAGCAGCAACTGCTTCGGCCGCAGCCATACCAGCACCAGCAGCAACAGCAACAGCAGCTAACACTACCAAAGCAACACAACAGCAACAACAACAGCAGCAGCAGCAGCAACAGCAGCCGCCGCAATTGCAGCATCAATTGTCGCAACAGTCAATGACAAGCGTGACATCATCGTCAACACAGTGCTCCACACCAAACACACCCGGCAGCCTACAGCAGCAGCCGCCCAGCCTGACAACGCCAGCTCAGACGCCAAATAGCGCACTCGTGAGCAGCCTCAGCTTTGGCAATGTCTCAAAATCCTTAATCAGCGGTAAGTGATGGTGCCTTATAACAAAGAGAGTGGCATATATATATATATATAGTACACTCATATATATATATGCTATACACTTAGTTGATGAGAGCTAAGTGCTCTAATTGCTTCAAGTCAAGTCACTTGGACAGCTCATTCACTCTAATCAGCTAGTCTGGTAGTCTTCTTTGTTCATGCCATATAAATATTGATTCGATTTGGTATAAACTTCAGGTGAACGCAAGGATCCGCTCAATATGCTGGCCAAAAACGGTGGCTCGAAGCGCAATGCTTTGCTCAAGTGGTGCCAGAACAAGACCGTCGGCTATCGCAACATCGACATCACGAACTTTAGCTCATCGTGGAACGATGGGCTGGCATTCTGCGCCATTCTACATTCCTATCTGCCGGATCGCATACCATACGACACGCTCACCCCGGCCAACAAGCGTCGCAACTTTTCGCTCGCATTTGCCGCCGCCGAGTCGGTGGGCATTACCACCACCCTGGTGAGTCAACAGCATTCATTCAATATTACAATCAGTCCATTAATACGACAACTCACGCCATTGCAGAACATCAATGATATGTGTCAGATCGAGCGACCCGACTGGACTCTGGTCATGTCCTATGTAACCGCTATCTACAAGCACTTCGAGACATAAGGCCCTTCCTCTCCGTCCGCGGTGAACTGAACTGAATCTGGGAGCGAATGTGCACACATCTTTTGTATATGAATTTCTCTTGCTCTTTGCTACTTTTTAGATTTTTAAAATTCCTGGCGACTATGATAAACGATAAAAAATGAGTTAAAAGCTTAACTTAACCAAACTCAGCTGACTCTTCTCTCCTATTATTAACCATTTTTTGTTTGCTCATAATATAGTATATATAGTATGTATTGCCAGGTTTAAGCATTTGCACTGGAGTGTTGTGGCAAAGTTTAATACTTATTGTCAAATTGCTGATTTCAGAGTTTATTTTAAATACACAAACACACATACATTATGCATATATATATATTTATAAATATATACACATATATATACGATTATAGGAAACCTAGAGAAATCGAATGGCCGATTAGCTTTAGCATATTTATTATAAAAACAAACAAAAACAGAATTTAAAGAACAAAATTAATTGTCTTTTTTTCAATATTTTATTAATATGGGTGATCTACAATTAAAATATTGATAACTCCATATATCACAGTTTGCGAGTCACTGTCAGTTTTCAAAATCAAAATAACCCGTTTTTAGGAATTCTCGAGAATGAACATTGGCACATTTCTTGCTTGCTTTTATCTTGGACAAAATAAATGACACCATTTAAAATATATTTGGAATGATTACTTTATGACGTATTGAAAAGATTTAAAAATGTAGCGCTCCACTGTAGCGTATTTAACGTAAGCAACGTTCAGTGTTAACAAAACACGGCATATTTAAAACTGTTAAATGACTGTGGAGGCATTCTGTTAATTGAGGAGTAGTTCTGTTAATCCAATGATAGCTAGCTCCGATAGATGTTATCGAAAGTTTGCAGTTCTAGTAAGAATATCCAAATATTTTAATAAATTTTAAAGCTAGGCAATTGCAATGATAAATTTAAGCAAACAATAACAACCGAAGTGTACTGCAATGGAAGCGACGGAAGACCAGCTAATACTGGCCACAGGCGGCTACGACCATACCATCAAAGTGTGGCAGGCGCACACCGGCAACTGCATTAAAACCATGCGCTTTGTAGAGACATCGGTGAGTGAGACTGCTGAAAACGGAGCCTCGCATTTGATCATATATCAAATATATTTTGCTATACTCATCAACAGCAAGTTAATGCGCTAGACCGTACGCCAGATAAGACGCGCCTGGCCGCGTGTGGCTATCAGTGTATACGTTTATATGACTTGGAATCCAATTGCACGGCGCCGGTCATAAATTTTGATGGTGTACAAAAGAATGTCACACGGCTGGGTTTTCAGGAGGATGGCAACTGGATGTTCACTGCTGGCGAGGATCATCGTGTACGCATCTGGGACATGATGTCAGCGCCGCCTCACTGTTCCCGGGTGTTCGATTGCCAGGCGCCCGTGAATGCCGCCTGTCTGCATCCGAATCAAGTGGAAATTGCAATGGGCTCACAGAATGGCGGCGTCTATCTGTGGGATGTGAAGTCAGAGGTGCATGAGCAGCTGGTGCCCGAGGTGGATGCCTCAATACAGGACGTGGCCATTTCGCCAAATGGCCATTATATGGCCGCGGCCAACAACAAGGGCAACTGCTACATCTGGGAGCTGAGAAGCAGTCCCGGCCAGAATTTGAGCACAATGAGTCCAAAAAAGAAAATCCAAGCACACAGCCGTTCCATACTTCGCTGCAAGTTCAGTCCCGACTCAAGTCTCCTGGTCACAACATCGGGCGATGGCACCGCCTGCATTTGGCAGACAGATAATTTCAGCAAGTTGCACGAGCTCTCTATTAAAAACTTTTGGATCTGGGATGCTGCATTCAGCGCCGATTCCAAATGGCTATTCACAGCCTCCTCCGATGGCATTGCTCGGCTATGGAAGCTACAAACGAAGAACTGCGTGCGCGACTACACGGGCCACACCAAGGCAATTACGGCTCTGTCCTTCAAGGACGAAATTGTGGCCGACTAACTTATAAGCATAGCGTTAGTTCTAGCTGTAAACAAATAGACAAATAGGTATACAAAGCAGCCACTCGCATTGTCCGCGCTGGGACGGATGCTTGGATAATATGGAATAGGAACAGCAAAGAACCGATTCTGAATGGTTTCAGAATGCGATATGAAAGATGATGCTTGAGCGTGAATCTTTTTGGAGGCAGCCGGGTCCGAGGCGACATTTGAAAGGACAAAGGACAACAAACAAAAAAGAAGAAAACCCAGAACTGAATCGAGTTCTACCTCTAAAATGCGTTTTTGCTTTTGTAGCGACGATTTTCATACATTTTTTTTATATATAATCTGCAAATATATATATATGTATATGTATATATTATATATATGAGGAAATGCAATTTAATAAAAATCCTTATAGGCATACAATCAATATAAGTACATATAAATACAGTAAATAATTTAAAAGTTGATTAGAACGCAATTATCAATCGGATACGACAGAGGAATACATTATGACTGGGGATCGTCGGAGCCCAAACAAAAGGATAATACAAAAAACAAACAAACGTGATGCCAAAACGAAACGATACGCAATTCAATTCAATTGACATGTTTACTCCACATAGGGAATGCCTTGGGCGACAATTGACTCCTTGATGGGATCTGGATCGTCGCCTAGCCTGTAGCCCACAATGCAGGTAACATCCACCGGCTTGCCGGTGGGATTCAGCAGCAGCATCACTTGGTTGATGGGGGGCGAAGGCCGGAACGGTTTGTGTCCGGGCATTACGGTGCCCGTGGGCGGCAACAAGCGCACCTTACAGGGCTGCAAGTAGACAAGGGCAGAGGATGAGATGGACATTGGCTCTGGTAATCGATAATCGACCCACCTTTTTAACGCTCGCCTCGAATTGAAAGTCTTTGACGGGCTGGCGGCTCTTGTTTTGGGCCGATATCACAATTACGGACACATTGCTACTGGGCCGCTCGTCCGTAATATTGAGGCACAGCTGCAAATCGTCATCGTCCAGCATAACGCGCTCCTCCCCAATGCCCTGAATATTGTCCAGCTCAACGCTGATCTCGCTAAGGTGCTTCACTTGCTTTATAGCAGCTGGCGGCGCCTCCACAATCACCTCTTTTACGGGCTGTAGTTCCACTTGAGGTTGGGCCATAGGCTGTGTCTGTGGCTGTGACGGCCTCGGTGTAGCACTCAGCAATGGCACATCATCAACAGCCTCTGGCGTTGGCTTCTCTGCTGGCTTCACTTGAATGCGCTCGCGCGCCAAATCGTTGAGCGTTAATTTCTCTGGTTCACGCTTAAAAGTGCTCATGCGCTCCTGTGATGGCAGTATCTGCTCAAATAGCTTTTCGCTCAGCATATCGATTTCGGGCATTTTGCGCAGAGCCCCAACCTGCTTGACATCCGCCTCCGCATCCCCAGCAGCGCCACTGCCATTGGCCGTAGCACCATTATTGTCGCTTTTTGTTGAGCTGAGCACCTGCGGGGAGAGCAGCTCGCCGTTGCCAGCCAGCTGAAATGGTTCTTGCTGCTGCTCCTTTTTGGTTGCGCTTTCGGCCAGGGCGCTGCTGAAGATTTCACTGAGATCCTCCAGAACATTAGTCTTTTTTGGAGTGGTAGTTGGAATGGGTGCGCTGGCCACGACGGGCTCTGCACCATCCAGCAGCAGGTCACCTAAAAGTTCGTTGATCAATGTTGCATTGCTGGCGTGAGGTGCTGTCGTTGCTGCTGCTCCTGCTGCTTTAGAGGCACTAGCTGTGGCAGTAGTAGCTGCAGGTTGATTGGCCAGAGTCGTAGCCGAAGCTGCACTCTTGGCTGGAGACGACACCAGCTGCTTGAAGCGTGCCATAGTCGCCACCAAGGCCTCATTGGTCACCAGCGTGTCTTCTGCGAATGGCCAAAATGGAAATTATGAATTTATATATGCATCACATACTATCAATGTACACTGCCTAGACTTGCCTATTAGCTGTGTATCCGTGTCGCCCAACAGCTCGGGCAAATGCTGAAAGATGGGCTTATGCTTCTTGCAGTTTCGGTAGAGCTCGTGTATGGTCTCATTGACATCACAATCGTCGGGATTGTAGCTGTCTAGCATTTGATTGAGCAGCTGCATCGTCTCTTGCACCTCGACCAGAACTAGCCGATGTTGTGCCAGCAGATCGTTGCGACGCGCCTCCTGCGCTATGCGATATTGCACCAAGAGATTGGCACGCTTCAAGTTCTCCGGATCCTTGCTCTTGATCAGCTTGACAAACATGGCCTCATCAATGGTGCTGAGCACGCTCTCACGTTTGGCCAACGCAGCGGCCGTTTGGCCGTGATCGATTTCGCCCTCCTTGCGCAGCATTTCGTATGCATCACGGATCTTTTGGCGTTGCGGAAACTCGGTCGTCCACAGCAGCAAGCATTCCATGATCCGCTGCTTCACCACAAGCGGCGTCTCAGCTCCATCGTATTTCTTGGACACCAACCGGATTAGCTCATTTAGAAAACGAAATTTCGCCGCCTCCTCCTGGAACACATCGCCGCACTGTGTCATGCATTCCTCCAACAGCTAAATATCAAGTTTTATTTCCATGGAAAAGAAAAAGAGTTAAAAAATGTTTGCCATAATCGAAAACCGCAAAATTCTTTTAAGAGTGTGTGTGTGTGTGGGTGTGCATGCATGAGTGTGTTTGGGTTGTGAGGCGTCAGACTTACCGCAATTGCTCGCGTCGCCTCCTTTATATTGCTCGAATGCACCTTAGCAACAATCATGGACTGAGCCTTGTGCACCAGTTGACTATTGCTGCGCACAACAATGCAAAACATTTGTACGCCGAGTTCATCGACACGATCTTTTGTTGGATTCGTTGCACGATCTGCATTTGCGGTTGTGGAAATGAGGGACTTTATTGAAAGCAATAAAAACGAGATTAGCTGCAGTTTGCAAACGAAACTCACCCAACATCTCTGTCATAATACTCTCGTCAGTTGTCATCTTTACATTAAATGCTGTCTTTAGGGTTTAAAATAGCCGTGAATAATATTTAAGGAACGTATGTTTTTCGGATTTGAACAACAATCATATTGTTGTAGTTGCTTCTATTATCATTAGAGCTGTGCCGTGAGTCGACCAAAATATCGATAGCTGCTCATATATAGGATATCGGATTTAGTGCGCAGCTATTGACTTTTAAGTGGATAACAGTAGAGATAACACTCGTAAGCTTAAAATAAATATTTATAAAATTGACTTGAATTTTAGTAAGAAATCAATGTTAACAATATGATAACAATAATCAAAATCAACATAATAAATTGTACAATTTATACAAGCACAATGCAATGACGTTAAATGTACTGTTTTCTGAAAGCCCGTTTTAGTTTTTTTCGAAATCAACAAAAACGACTAGATTTTTATATTCGATTGTTCATTGTTTTGAAAGTTCATTGCAGCCCTGCATCTAAAACACAACCCTGGGCTCCAGCCGGAAATCACTTTTTGTGGCATTGACGCACACTGCCGCAACATGTTCTTTTTCAGGCGTACGCCTTTGCGCATACATCGTACACCGATTTCTTCCGTGAAAAATGTAAGATTTTTTTGTTAAAATAAATGTAAATGTAAATAAAATTTTAAGCAAATGGATTCTAAACAAAGCGGTAATCGGCTGCACTCAAAAACTGTGTGAAATGCATTGTGCAAATGATAATAACTTGTTGGTTTCGTTTGGCCACGCACAATGAGGTTAAAAACGGTGCTTTTTTTTTTTTTTGTTTGTGTGCGTGCCTGTGTCTGTGTAACGAGCGCTCAGTGCCGTCTTCACACGTGTTTGCATTTAAATGCAGGAAATATAAAATTTAATATAATACGTCCACAGCGAAAACCGTAGCAGTGAAACCAAGATTGTTACGGTATTCAGCGGGACAATATTAGACGCCATAATATACTATTCCTCTTGAGGTTATCGCCTTGAAGATATTTACCTTAATAAAGTCGAAAATCAACAACACTTAAGTAAATTTAATATACTGAAAGCGAATAATATTGTTTGGATTTTGGTTTGCAGCATGGCCGAAGTAGCTGAAAACGTTGTCGAGACTTTCGAGGAGCCGGCGCCATTGGAAACGGATGTCGCCGAAGCTGTGCTCGACACAAATGTTGTCGCCACCACGGAGCTGCCCGAAATCAAACTGTTCGGTCGCTGGTCTTGCGATGATGTGACCGTCAACGATATCTCGCTGCAGGATTACATCTCAGTGAAGGAGAAGTTCGCACGCTATCTGCCCCATTCGGCTGGTCGTTATGCCGCCAAGCGTTTCCGCAAGGCACAGTGCCCCATTGTTGAGCGTCTGACCTGCTCTCTGATGATGAAGGGCCGCAACAACGGCAAGAAGCTCATGGCCTGCCGCATTGTCAAGCACTCTTTCGAGATCATCCACTTGCTCACTGGCGAGAACCCACTGCAGGTAAGCATAGATTTCACGGCAAATGATTTAATCCAAGCACCATGGCACAACCCGTGCCATGCTAAACTGAGCCATGCGAAAACTAACCACGCGGGCTACAGGTAGAATGCGCACGGAGACCAAAATGTTTCAATATCCTAGTGTCTGAAGCGCAACTCTTCTTACTCTCTTGGAACTTGAAACTACAAATGAAAACTATAAAAACAAACGAGTATTTTGGCTATATATGTAGAACTGCATTATTTAGTTCGCTAGAATGCACCGCCATCTGCTTGTGCGTTGTTACATTCATTACATTCTATCAGAGATTGGCTATGTCCACAACTAAAACCGCATTAGTGATTCGCACGCTGGTGTGGTATTCAATTGGACTACATTGAACCCCATGGTTAACTATTCCTCTTAAGGGCATTGGCTTAAAGATGCATACCTTAATAAAGTCAAAATCAACATTAGAAACTCTATATGAAACATTTCTACTTAGCACAAGATGGGATGATAGCATACGTAGTATCCTATGTATTTGTCGTTTAGTCCAACTCTATGCTAGCTAGTTTATATGCCAAGCTGTGCTAAGCATCTAATTTAATTGGACTGATATTAGACTTTGACGTTTTAATATCCTAGTGCCCGAAGATTTGAAACCTCTTCTTGCTCTCTTGGAACTTAAATCGACATCTATACTCAAGGAGCCCAAATCCAGTTAACAGTTAGTCCACCTCAATGCCATGCAAGTATTATTTTCCACTGCACTGCGCATCTAAACTCGATTGGACTGATATTAAATAAAAGGTTTTAATATCCTAGTGCTTGAAGATTCGACTCTCTTCCCGCTCTCTTGGAACTTAAAATCACATTTTTGTTAATATTACTTTATCAATCAGAGAATGGCTTATGTCCACAACTAAAACCGCATTAGTGATTCGCACGCTGGTGTGGTATTCAATTGGACTACATTGAACCCCATGGTTAACTATTCCTCTTAAGGGCATTGGCTTAAAGATGCATTCCTTAATAAAGTCAAAATCAACATTAGAAACTTACCATATATACATCCATATAAAATACTCGTGCCGTAGTCCAACTCAATGCTAGTCAGCTTATAATCCATGCTGCTCTGAGCATTATCTTTTGAATGGACTAATATTAAATAGAAGGTTTTAATATCCTAGTGCCTGAAGATTTGTAATCTCTTCTTGCTCTCTTGGAACTTAAAACTACAATAGAAATTTAGACAATTCATTTATAGTCTTAATGTCCTTTACCGTTTTTAATGTATATATTCATTTATATCCTGCAGATCTTGGTGAGCGCCATCATCAACTCGGGACCTCGTGAGGACTCCACACGTATTGGCCGTGCCGGTACCGTCCGTCGCCAGGCTGTGGATGTGTCGCCCTTGCGTCGTGTCAACCAGGTGGGTGCATTTCTTGGCTAACTTTTTGGCCAGCAACGATGGCGCACAGTTCGAGCACAGAGACTGCGTGCTTATAACGTTGGCTATAATAAACATCTATCCATCCGTAGCGTCACAATGTGTAATTAGCCAACATTTGGCGTATGAACCGAAGAGACATTTAACTCTAGTTTTTATTAAATTGCGAATGTTGTAATAATAATAATTTCTATCAATTATAGGCTATCTGGCTGCTGTGCACTGGTGCTCGTGAGGCTGCCTTCAGGAACATCAAGACCATTGCGGAGTGCTTGGCCGATGAGCTCATCAATGCCGCTAAGGTAAACTATATAGCTATACCTGAATATACATATGTATATCCATAGATATAAGCTAACTATGTGTAAGTGCGTCTACTGTAATGTCGCGCATTGTATGGCCAAATGTCGCCTTGCTTATAGAAGACTTCGAACTGCTCGGGCAGTTGCTGCTCATTGAGGAGCAGCCAACAATCAATTATCTGCATAAATATATATATTTATTCCTTCATAGTTCCAATCTACTTCTGCATCAGATCAATATACATATATATTTGCATACACTACGTCCAGTCTAATTCTGCATCAGGTCATTTGGATACTGTTGGAGACTCGCTTTTGGACAAGATCAATGTTATGTCTTCTATTATCCTTGTGCTTGTGGCAGCAACCCAGCTCAATGCACACGAGAAACGTAGAAGAACAACTAATTAATCTAATGCAAACATAAATAACCGTATATATACATGCACTACGTCCAGTCTAATTCTGCATCAGGTCATTTGGATACTGTTGGAGACTCGCTTTTGGACAAGATCAATGTTATGTCTTCTATTATCCTTGTGCTTGTGGCAGCA